GTAGTAGACTTTCCCGAGTTTCTGAATATTCAAAATCACCTTTATATTTGAATGCTGGTTTGGTTGAATAGAGATTGCTATCTTAAAATAATTTTCCCTTCAAACTTGGATGTTATTACTCCATGGCCCTCTAGATCCATTGTTGCCAATGATGCCGGTCTGGTTCTCATCTCTCTATAGGGAATCTATTTTTGCTCTCTGGAATTTAACATATTCCTCTTACCCTTTGGAAACTTTACTAAGGTGCATCCACATGTACCCCTCTTTTTGTTTATCCTGTGAGGTACTTAAAGGTGCTTTCAATCAAAGACGTGTGGTTTTCTTCACCTTGGAGAAATTTCCCTTCCCATTCTGTCATCTCTATCTGAAATTCCACAATTTGCTTAAAGCTGGATCTACCTTCTAGTCCTCTTTTCCATTATTCTTTATATTTCTTTGCCTTTTTGCACTGCATCCTGAGAGTCAGCTTAGTCTTTCATTTTATGAATTAGCTCTTCAATTGGGTCTGCTCATTTATCCAGCACATTTATTAAGTCTTTTATTTGATTACCCTATTTTAAATTCACAGAATTGTTAATAACTTCTCTTTCCTGCTTTTGTTTTAGGAATGAAATAGTCTTTCAAATTTCTCAGAGGATACAATTATTCTATTTTAAAGTTTTTCTCTTTATTAATAAAACTCTCTTGTGGTTTTTCTTTCAAATGATACCGTAGTTCTTCTATTTTTTGTATTTAATGACTTTTTATAGTGTTAATTTTCCTATAATACAAGGAGATTCTTAATTGTCCATCTTTTTGGTGAACAATTCCCAATCAGAACCTGAGGATGCAGTGTACAATGTCTGGGCTACTTCCTGAGATTGCAGAGAACGGCAGGACCTGCATTCAGGCAGTACCAGTATGCTGCAGCTCATTTTCTAGATTGGGGCTGGGTGGGGGGAGGGGGGACGCTCTCTGCCTCCCCAGAGGATTGCTCCTCAGCACCCACACCTGTGACCACAGCCCTTCCTCCTGCTAATTCCTACCTTGTTCCTTGTACATACCTTTCCCAGACTCCTTTCCAGCCTGAGTCACAGGAGAAGTTATTTATGCCATGTGGTATTCCACCCTATCATTGTTTATATTATTTCATGTAACCTTTTACAGTATATCATTAATATGTGAAAAGGGTCTCGTTAGCTGGAGCAAAGGTGAGTGGTGCCTGCACAGGATGTAGTCCTGGTCAATGCTCTGATTTATTAGGTTGAACTCAACTGTTTATTGGCTCATCTCTTTCTGATGGCCCCCAAAATGACATCACTTGCAGCCTCTCCCTTACTATAGTGCTGCTGGTTATACTTAGCCTTTCTCCTGAATTCACTATCTTAACACATTCCATTTCTACTGATACAACAAATAATATTTTTAAATCCTGTGACATAATATCTTTTATCCACATTTCTCTCTTCTAAGACACATTGTTTTGTCTTCTGATCAATACTAACTGCCCAGTAGTTTTGAGGCTAGAAAGAGCTTGTACGTTGCAAAGCCAAAAAGAAGATCTAGTGAGGGGTGCAGGGTTGCATGAGATAAGATTGGAAAAGTAGGCAGGGGCCAGGTCAGGCAGGACCTCAAAAGCCTTGCCAAGGAGTTTGGATTTTACTTTAAGTGCAAAGGGCTTATTACCTGGCAGATGTCACAGCCAGCTCCTCCTCCCATTTAGCGTTGGCGCTAACAACCAGTGAGGACCCCTCTGGGATGCAGTCTGCTGTGCACCGTGGGTGGCTGGCCCAGACTCTGGCCTCTCTGGAGTCACTTCATGCTCTCACCAACCTTTGTTCTATTTCGCTCTTGTTTCAGAGGTTGTGTTCTCACCTTACCCTGGATTCTCAACCCCAGAGGTAAGCACTATTTATTTTATATTTGTGTCCTTGAGTTAGAACATTAATTTTAATAAACAAAAATGAGTTATTGGAACCATTTGGAGAGACATTTATATATATCACATTTGGAGTTAAGGAGAGACATTTATAATATGACATTGAAGAAACTGATTTGTTGAACAAATATTTCCCAATTACCTATCACATGCCGGGCGCTGTGCTGGCCTGTAGAGATATAGTGATGGACTAGGCAGGCAGGTCCTGGATCACACCCAGTGCATGGGCTGCATTTTCTAGGCTCAGAAGCTACTCACTAAGTCACATGTGTCAAACACAAGGCCCTCGGGCCAAATCCGTCCCGCCAGGCCTTGCAATGTGGCCCGCACGCGCTGTCATCACTGCACTCCGCTGCGTTTCCATCACAATGACAGTTTATGACTGTTCAGTAAACCATTCGGCCCGCGATTTAGGCTGGATTTTAGATTTTGGCCCCTTCTCTGATTGAGTTCGACACCCCTACACTAAGTGGAGGTTGCTGCCTCAAGTGATCAAGCTGGCATTGAAGTAAAGCTGCCACCAGATGGATTTCATTAGCTCCTAATGAGAGTCCCCCAAAGCCAGTGGTCCTTGCCAGTTACACAATCCAGGGTCTAATCCTTGATGCCACTGGCTTAGACACTTTATTTTTGTTAGACCAGAATATTGGTTTTTCTGTCTAGGTAAACATTCACTACCCAAGCTCACCAAGATTGATGCACTAACTGTTGATTTATTTTACAATATGAAGTACAACTACACATTAGCTAATGGAGCCTGGAAGAGAATCTTGTTCATTTGAACCCAGTCTGTAGTCCAATATCTACCTTGTAATTTCCATCTAACTCAGGAACCAGTGAGTGAACTGAGTTAGGCACGGTTAATCCAGCTATTTCAATTTCTGTTTGATCACACATGTTGACCCTCAGGCAAGTTGGGTTGTGCTGAGAGGCCAAGACCCTGCAAGTTACCCAGGTGCACACTGGGCCACGTTCAGGCCCCACAGCCTGCCGGAAGAGATTCAGGACTTAGCTGTTGTTCCATCCTGCCGTGAAGACCCTCCACTGTAGGATGTGAGCTAACCCATCAGCCAGGTGTTCAAGGTTCAGGTCACTCTTCTCCGTCTCCCCCCTAGGAAAAGTCCCCTTAACAATGCAAGCAACTCCTCTTTGTCCTCGGGAGAAATTTTAGCCCAATTGTGTAGATGGAGGGTCCTATTCAGGATACCGTATTTTTCGGACCATAAGATGCTCCGGACCATAAGACGCACCAGTTTTTAGAGAAGGGAAATGAAGAAAAAAAGATTCTGAAACAAATAGTGTCCTAAAATATTTTATGTGCATTAAAACCCAACATCACAGTCATAAACACATGTAATCAACCCTGTAAAGTAAACAGCAGCATTTAGAACCATTTTAGAGCAGGGCAAGCACACAGAGACCACACAGAGCCGGGCAAGTAAAAAAACTTTTTTTAAAAAGTATATGTGTAGGCTATATTTGGACCATAAGAGGCAGGGACTTTTTCCCCCCACTTCTGGGGGGAAAAAAGTGCGTCTTATGGTCCGAAAAATACGGTAAGTGCTGTAGGGCAGTGTGGGAGGTGGGGACAAAGAACCTCTGACATCTATACCAGTGCTACTAGCCTTTGGCCTTAGAGACTTGATACTGGAACTTTGGGTGCTGGAGAATTCGCTCACATATTATCTCAGAGAACTTGGAACCAGAACTCTGGGCCTTTGGAGACATTGTCCTTTATGACTTTAGATGTAACTTCTGTCCAAGCTTCTCTACAATGGCTATTCTTTTCACCACACCCCATAGGAAGGGCATGTCGGCCCTCGGTGGCTTTCAACTTCTTTATCATGAAGGCACTTTGACTTGGACTTTTTTTTCCCTTCTAAGACAACCAAGGTATGTGCGCTTCCTCCCATATTCGAGATTCTTCCCGTGAAGTTACTGAAGGCCAGGAACCAGACGCTGGCCCCGCCCTTCCCAGAGCTGAGGTGCCTTAGCCTGGCCTACAACAAGGTGACTTTTTGCTTCTCCTATTCCCTCAAGAGGCACAGATTGGGGGGTGGGATGCCAGCTGCTCTGGCCTAAAGGCCAACCCTCTAATTCCCTGCATTATAGGTCTGGGGCTCAGGAATTCTCAGGGTAGAGGATGTGGAGGGAGTTTAGGCCAAGGCAGGATTCTATCCATTCAGTCACAGATATTTATTTAGTAACTGTCATGTATCAGGCTCTGTTTTAGGCTTGGGTATATAGCTGTGTGAAGAAAGATTGGGTCCTGCCTTTATGGAGCTTGTCACTTATATAGAGAAGATATATATATATATCTTCTCTATATAAGTGAGATATATATATCTCACAATATAAGCATGTTTAGTATTATAAAGAAATTGATAGTGCTATGAAGTATATGATAGAGATGGGGAAAGGTGTCTAACCTAAAATTTGGGATTAGGAAAGATTCTGGAGAGAGTGGTATTTAAATTGAGATATGAATAAATGAATTTAATGAGGTGAAAAGTAAGGGTAGAGTACAGAGAAATGTTCTAGCCCTAAGGAAGAGCAGATATAAAGTCCATGGAACAGATTTAGCATGTGTTTTCTTAACATGTTTTATGTTAATATATTTTACCAATATCCATGCCCTGTTTTAATTCCTGTAAACCCTACGCAAGTCTGAAATGCAGACAACTTTTAAGGTATTCTGCTTACATTCATCTTAGCAGTGGTTCTCAACCGTCCTAATGCCGCGACCCTTTAATACAGTTCCTTATGTTGTGGTGACCCCCAACAATAAAATTACTTTCGTTGCTACTCCATAACTGTAATTTTGCTACTGTTAATGAATTGTAATATAAATATCTAATTTGCTAATTTGGTCCTCCGCTTCTCCTAGTCTATTGTGTTTTTTATGGTGGTGTTTTTTTTTTTTTATTGCAGCTTATATCACTCTTTATTTCTTCTTTATTCTTACATAAGTTGTTGATTTTTTTTATTCATCCAGTTTATGAACTGTATGACCCTTATTCTTTTCTAACATATTGCATACCTCTGTTTCACTTAGCTACTTTTCTGCCAATTCCTCCTTTTCTTTCCTTTGGGGGCTTCTTCGTCTCCCTATTTTTGCTCTCACTGAAGGATCTAGGTGTCAAGTAGTTCAGGAGCTGCTCCTCAGGTGGTGGCTGCTCCTCAGGCAGTCATGGCAGTGGCTGCTCCTACGTTGGCTGTGGCTTCTCTGGTGGGTGCTGCTCACAGCAGTTGTGACTCCTCTGGCTGGTGGGGGCAGGCTGCTTATGCAGCTGCTGCTCCTCGGACAGGGGTGGGCTGCTCATGAGGCTGCTGCTCCTTTGATGGGGGCAGGCTGCATGTGGCTGCTACTCCTAGGACGGGATGGGCTGCTTGCACAGCTGCTGCTCCTCAGATGGGAATGGACTCTGCGCAGCTACTGCTCCTTGGTCAGGGGTGGGCTGCTTGCGGGGGCTGCCGCTCCTCGGATGGGGGTGGGCTGCTCATGTGACTGCCACTCCTCGGACAAGTGCTGGCTGCATGCGGCTCTAGCTGATTTATTCTTAAATGCTTGTGTGATACTTGTATTCTGTTGCAAGTAAACCAGTATTTATGTCCCATCTCTCCTTCATGTCGCCCATCTAACTTTAGATTTCAGGCCACTTGATCACCCTGAGACTTTAACTCTCTGTTGGACTCAAGAAAAGTTATGATATAATTTATTCAGGTGTGTTTTTCTCACTGGAGACTTTAATGATGTTTTCCTTTATGGTGGTAACCACCTAACATGCATATATTTTTGTCTGCTACCAGTTGTCTACTGCCAGAATGTAGGATGGGGTTTCTTTTCTTTTTTTTTTTTTTTTTTTGAGATCTAAAACATTGTTTTACTTATATCTCCATTATCTAGAATAGCACCTGATACATGATAGATACTCAGTAAGTTTGTTAGATGAATTAATGATGTTTTGATCAGATCAAAGAATACTGAGCTACTTGTGTTGAAATTAATATTCAATATGCTGAAGTTACAAATTTTAAAACCAATTTTGCCTTGAAATGGAAACTTACGCTCATAATATTATCTCAGAAGTCTAGTAATTTTTGTGTCAAAAATAAAATAATCACTTTCAACTTTTTTTACTTTAAATAATTACAGCTTGACATAGAATATTATATTAGTTTCGACTAAAAGTGATTCTTACATTTTTAAATGGTTGTGAAAAATCAAAAGAAGGACAACACTTCATGACATTAAAATTATATGAAGTTCAAATTTTAGAGTACATCTGTGCAGTTTTGTTGGAAGAGTCACACACTTATTTGTTCATTAATTGTCAATAGCTGCTTTTGTGCTACAACAGCTAAGGTAAATAGTAATGACCTGCAAATCCTAAAACATTGATTGCTTAGCCCTTGACTGAAAAGGTTTGCTGTCCATGGTCTAGGATCTATGATCAAAGCCCACCCCTAGTTCCTTTTCTTCTCTCACTCTGTACTCTCTGAGGATGCATGTCATAATCCTCCTAGGGGTGCCTTCACATACCCATTGGCCCACTGACTCACAAATTTATAACTCCCATATGGACCATTCCTCTGTACTCCAAACCAGAGTATAAACTATCTACATGAATATCTACTTTGAGGTCTCAAAGGTACCTCTAAAGTACATGTTTCCAAGTGCATTAATGATCTTTCCCTTCAAATCTGATGTTCTTTTGTTATTCCATACCTTAGGGAATAACTCCATCATCCATTACTCAAGCTAAAACCTGGTAGTCATCCTTATACTCCTCTCTCCTTTACATTGCTCCTCCCTATCATATCTCCTCCATCACCAAATCTTGTCAAATTTAGGTCCTCATATTTCTAAAAAATCATTTAATGGGTTCCCCAAGGACCAAATTCTTTAAAATAGCATCAATCTGGTTCATATTTCCATCATCGGCCTCATTTTGCAGAAGCAACCTTTTTCTCTGCTTTAATCACACTACTGTCTTTAAATCCCCCCAATAGGCTTTTTTCCTCCTTGCTGTTAGGCCTTTTACACATTGTTCTCTTTGCACGTAACACTTCCTTTCTGCATTAATCAGAGTAAGTAATACCAGCTACTGCAACAAACTTTTTAAAATCTTAATGACTTAACACAATAAAAGTTTCTTTATTGCTTTTACAAAAATCCACTGATTGGCTGGTGATCACTCAGAGATCAGGCCCCTCTGGCTCTGGCATCCCATAGGGCCATAAGAGTACTTTATTGGATCCTAGGCATCTGGTAGATAGGTAGTTGATAGATGTAGAGGACAAGCAAGAGGTTTTGAACAGTCTATACCTGGAAATGGCATTTACTACTTCCACCAAGATTGCTTTGGCTAAAACTGAGTCGTATGACCACGTCTGGCTGCCTGGGTGGGAGGCAAGAAGATGCACAGTCTAGCTGTGTGCTCAGAAGGTAGAGGAAATGGTTTTTGTTAACAGAGATTTCTCTGCCACATACTTTATCCCCCACTGCATTCACTAATTACCTTCTACCCACCTTTCAGATCTCAGGATCACCTTATCTCCCCCACTAGTCACTAGGTCACATCACCCTAGTACTTCATATGCTTCTCTTTTATGGCACTAATCAGAATTATAAATCTACTCTCTTTTATGTTACTGGTTCTTCCATGCTTGTTTCCCACTAGGCCATGCCCCGTGATGACAGGAGTTATTTTTTCTCTTTTACTCATTCCCAGCCCAATGCTTGGCACATGTATGCATTCAGTAAATATTTGACTGAGTGAACAAAAATGAAAGACAATGACTGGTTAGTTGTCCATTGGGTATGTAGTGCTACCTTATAAAGTTCCAGAGGAAGCCAAATTGAAATGCCCTCCTCCTTCCAACCCTCAGACCTTAGCACCTTCTGTGGGTCCCAAATCTGATCTAACAGCTTTCAGTGTATCCAGCCATCTGAAAGGTCATGACCCCACTTCTGGGCTCAGTGATACTGATGGATCTGATACTGTTCTGTTGCTAATAGATGCCTCCCTAAGGTTATCCTCAGATGTTCCAGACATTCTGCTCAACAAGAATTGTGTATTTTTTGCCCTTCAGAAGCTGGCCTCACAGGGATGGAGCGGCCTCTGGGCCCCATACAGCCAGGAGATCTCTCTCACCATGGGCTCTGCTTATCCCTTAGAGAGGTGTTTCCCTGACCTCCTGTCCCCTAATCCCTCCACAAATCAGTACCCAGAACAGGCCACAGCGAAAAAGGCCATCAGGGTTACTATTGAGAGGGTGTGTAGAGGTTGCTTTGAGGAAGATGAAGTGTCAGACGAATTGTATACTGAAGTCAAAGTCAATGCTCTGCCTACCTCCCAGATTCCTTGCAAGACAAGTGCTATATGTGTTTGTTATTATTTTGTCACCAACATCCTCAATACTTGGTCTAGGCCAGTGGTCGGCAAACTCATTAGTCAACTAGCCAAATACCAACAGTACAACGGTTGAAATTTCTTTTGAGAGCCAAATTTTTAAACTTAAACTTCTTCTAATGCCACTTCTTCAAAATAGATTTGTCCAGACTGACATTTTGTGGAAGAGCCACACTCAAAGGACCAAAAAGCTGCATGTGGCTCGCAAGCCACAGTTTGCCGACCACTGGTCTAGGCTATATAACCAGTATGGAGAAGGGAGAAAAATTCTTAGCTTTCAAACATAAAACAGTGATGATGGAATTTTGGACAGAGGGGCAAGGTGTTCTGGGTGTGAGCAGGTGAAATTATAGGAATAGAGGCTGCTCAGCATGAGTTCTATCCACAGCAGCATCACCCCACCCACACCCCAATCCTAGCAAGCATGTAACCCTGCAGTGTGGGCCTGGGGGCACTTGGCAGAGGTGAGTAACAGTGCTGACCTGATGCTCTCTCCTGCATGCCTCACAGATTGCGAAGGAAGATGCCATCCTGCCAGTAGCTCTCTTCCCATCTCTCTATGAGCTCGTCTTTCATAACAACCCTCTAGTGGCCCACAGACGAGGTAGGGTGCATATAAGGCTTCCCTCCAACCCGGTGCCCAGGAAGCATAATGGGCACCCTCATTCCCATCTCATTGATGCCAAGCCCCGGGCTCTGCTCTCCATCTTGGGTGGGCAGGGGGATGGAGAAAACATCAGACACTGCTGAATACCTGTCACCCTGACAGTAACCCCATTAGACAGGCGTTACTGTCCCTGGGCACAGTGGAGGAAACTGAGAATCAGAGAGGTTCGTGACCTGCCCAAGGCCACACATCATGAAAGAGGCATAGTTGGGAATGGAATACAGTATTACCTAGATCTGGCATGAGCTATTTAAGCAACACCCTGCTTTGTGGAACAGGTCTGTTGTGACTTCAGCTGCCTGTTGAGGACGGTGCAGGTGCTGGGCTGTCCCCTCCCAGAGCACAGTGAATGCAGGGGATGCTGTGTCCGCAGTGCAATGCACTGTCCGCATTGAGGCAGCTGAAGGCCTTTTAGAATCCTGGGCACTGGAGAGACAACAGTGGAGTTCTCATCCTTGCTCCACACTATCTTTGTTGCCTTAGGTAAATTCCTTAACCTCTCTGTGCCTCAGTTTTCTCACCTATCAAATGGAAATAATATGGGTATATGCCTCGTAGGGTTGGTGTGAGACTTAAATAAGTTAATATACACACAGCCATCTGAACAGTGCCTGGCACATAGTAAGCCCCAGGAAAGGTTAGCTAACTGTAGTCTTATTTTCCCATCATGGCCCAGGGATCCCTCCTCTGCTAAAAAGCTTCCTCCAGGAGCGGCTGGGAATCCACTTAATTCGAAGGAAGACATCAAAAGCTAAACATCATATTTTAATGCCTCGGAAGGCTTCAAGGAAGGTAAGGCTTCCCAGGTGGGACCCCCTGCCCCAGAGGGAGTGGAGCCTATGTCAGTGCAGGTGGACTAACCTGGAGATAGAGCTGCACTCTCCCACAATGCCCGGAATCCCTCCAGCAGGTTTGTAATAGCAGCAGTGTCTTCTCCTTCCCTTGCTCTATTAATACAGATAAACGCAAGAGGGATGAGAGACAGAGAGACCCAAAGGCAGACTCAGGAGGAGCCTTGCAGGTCTTTGAATCTGGCCCCCCAATTTTACAGAGAAACTGAGGCCCAGAGAAGGAGCTGTGAAGATGTGGGGAGAATCAGAAGACCCAGGTATGAGCCTGGCCCCATCACTTCCCATAGCTGTCTGAACTTGGGCAAGAGTTTCACTCTCTGAGCTTCAGCTTCTCAACTCTAAAACCTCTCAGAGCTGCTGAGGGGACTGGATGAAGCAACAGATAGGAAAATACACGATAAACCCCCAAACCCATACCAATGCAAGTTATAGTTGCCTGTGGCAGTCACGAAGGCTGTGCCAGGCCTAGCACACACACACCTCCTACCTGAATGCTAAGAAGCATCTCCATATGCTGAGAGCAGTCGGCTCCCTCTGTACTTTCCCAGCCAGTGGTCTTAGACTTGCCTTCTGGGATGCCATAAAGTAAATTAAATCCCTTTTTCATCTGATGGATTTCAGAAATTTCTGTGAAACGCTCCTCCATCCTGGAATTTGCATCTTCCTATAGCCGAAAGCTGGTACCAGAAGTTAAGTACAGTTTACCATTGCCATCGCTCTACAGTAGGGGTGTCGAACTCAATCAGAGAAGGGGCCAAAATCTAAAATCCAGCCTAAATCGCGGGCCGAATGGTTTACTGAACAGTCTTAAACTGTCATTGTGATGGAAACGCAGCGGAGTGCAGTGATGACAGCGTGGTGCGGGCCACATTGCAAGGCCTGGCGGGACGGATTTGGCCCGCGGGGCCTTGTGTTTGACACATGTGCTCTACAGCCTGCCTCTGTTCAGGCAAGCTCTTTCTTGTCTGGAGCCCTCATCGGACCAGAGTAGCATTTAAAACTAGAAAAAGAAATTCAAGTGGTTTGCATCATCTTCCCCTTATCTAAGGATCTTACTACCTCCTTCCCCAACAGCAGCTGGGACAGGCAGAATCAGAGTGAGTCGAATGCTAACTCCATAATCCTCTCTCCCATGTACAGAGCCCAGTACTCTGCTGAGCACCTTCGTGTGTGCTGTCCCATAATCCTCCCACAGACAGGGAAGCAGGCTCAGAGAGGTGATACAATGTACTTAGTGTCCAGGTCCAGAGGAACCTCTAAAGTTCTGACTGATAGAGAATAAACACAAATCCAGTGACCAAATGAGAAGCAAATCAGTGCTTTGTAAAACTAGGCAAACACAATCTAACCTCCAGTGCAGACAAGCCTGGAGAATGTGGCTAGGCCTTAGCTGGATTAGAGCTGCCTGAATGTCCCAGTGTGCTCACAGAGACGGCCTGATGTACAAGCAGACTCTGGGCCTTTTACTCACTCAGTTACATGGACAAAGACTGCCGGTGCTCCCTCAGGGCTAGGCATGGACAGAACTGGGGGAAACGAGCAGGCCCAGACCCACCCCACATGTAACCAAGACGCTGTGTGAGCTCTTGACATGCAAGACACAAATGGAAGACAGAACAGCCTGCCCTTGGCCAATCCAGCTCACCAGGGACTGTCAGCCTCTGACCAATTACATTATCTGGTCTTCCCTGGAGAAGGAGCTGGGGAAGTGGCAGAGGCCTAGACAAAGAGCATCTCTCCCCCCAGCCCCGCCCTGCACTCTGGCAGCAAATGACAGCACCGGGTGTGGTTCTGAAAAAAGACCCTGGATCTTTAGGCTTCAAGTCTAAACACTAAAGTTTTATATATTTTAAAAAAGGAAATGTTGTTTTTAAAACATTGTCTTCACACTTTTTAGTTTGTTAGTAAGTCATCTCATTTGGAAGAACTCTGCAGCATAGGCAGGGCAGGGGCTGTTCTCCCATTTCACAAGGAGGAGATGGAAGCTCAAAGGGGAGGACTGCATGCCAGCTCATATTTTTATAAAAACAGTGGTTAGGATCTTTCCATTCCCCTACATTGTCCGTCAACGTATAGATCTAAGTGGCCCAAATACCTTCGACTAAGAATAACATCAAGCCCTCGTATAATCTGGGAGGAAGGAGGAACTAAGCCCAGCTGAGGGCACCGAGCACATGGCTCCCTCCTGGCAGCTGAGGTGAAGGAGGAGGGGGAAGGATGACGGGCTTTTGCTAATAAAGGAAGCTAAGCAGTTCAACAGAAAAGAAGTAATTTTGTTGGTCCTGAACCCTAGGGAGATTCACCTTATGGATCTTTTTTATTTATAAGTATATTTTGTATTGATTTCAGAGAGGAAGGGGGGCGAAGAGAGAAACATCAATGATGAGAGGGAATCATTGGTTGGCGTGTGCCCTGAATGGGAATTGAACCGTGGCCTCCTGCTCCATAGGTCAACCACTGAGCACGCCAGCTGGGCTACCTTACGGATCTTTGTATAAGGTGCAGGAGCAGCATCCTGAACAGGCCTGGTGCTGCTCACTTCCAGAAAAGCAGGACCATCTCCCCCTTGCCCTCCTAAGAGTCCCTGAGGAAAGTCAAGGGAACTGTGTTAAACCTTAGATAGAGGCTAAGGCTCCTGCAGGCCACAGTGTTATGGTCAGGGGTTTATAATGAGGCCGGGAGCCCAGAACAAGCTCTGCCACTGAATAACTCTGTGATGCTGACAAGTCATTTTACCTCTCTGAGCCCATTTCCTCACCTATAAAGTGAGGATAATTATTCATTGGGTAGTTTTGACTTTGTTATGCATAGGGCACATCGTAGGTGCCTAGCAAATGTGGTTTTGCTCCCTCCCTCACCCAGTGCTCCGATCACTGTACCAAGTGGTCTTAGGCTGGTGAGGGTCCATGGGAGAGACCCCAGTTAGGAAGCAAACCAATAGAGCCCTTCTCCCATGACAGGTACAAACCCAAGTTCCAAAGGTGCCAAAGCAGCCCCTGGTGCTCCATCGGCCACCTGAGTCTCCCTTGGAGGAGACATTGGAGCCACAGCTGCTTGAAGTGCTGCCGATGGCCCAAGACACTCCTGTGAAGCGAGCAATGGCCATTGAGGGCCTAGAGGGCCTTTCCCTGTACCGCCGGCCCTTCGTGCCACTTCCTCCCATCTGCTCTGACTCCACCGTGCATACTGAAGAGACCACGTCTCGCCCGAGTGACACTGCTGGACATCTCAGCCCAGAGCACCCATCAGATGAGGATACCAAGAGCACAGAGTCCATCTTCTTGACGCAGGTGCCTGGATCCACCCGCCCCTGCCCACTCGTTCCCAGTTCCCACAGGCTCCTGTGCAGCCCTTAGATGGTTAGACTGCTACCGGCAGCCAGAAGCAAGCACATGGCAGGTCTGGAAACCAGAAGTCAACACCTAGCAGGGCCTGCCAGTGACTAATCCATGGGTACTGGTAGGGACACCTATGGGGACAAGCCATGGTACTGTGGTAGAGACAGCACCTGAGGTTAGGATATGGTTCCGAACAGTTTTTAGGAAGGGTTGCTGCTGCTTCTGCCCATCTGCTTAAGGTCACCTCACTTCTAATGCCTCGGAATCCTGGGAATACAAATGGATGAGACATGGTCTTGCCCTTGAGATGTCCTTAGTCTAATGGGGGAGACGGGCAGGAACAATGTACACAGTCAGTGTTGAGAGTGAGAAAGAAACCCAGGAGCTGGAAGCCTAGAGGAAGATGGCAGGCTTCCTGGAAGAGGTTCGAATGAGATGAGCTTTGCAGACTGAGTAGGAGTTAACATAGTGCGGAAGTAGGCAGCAAGGGCGGCATGAAGCAGGATACAGAGGAGGGAAATTGACGGTATGCACAGGAACCATGAATGGTTGAGTGGCAGTGCAACAGAAGGGTTCCATGTAGGAAAAGGGACATAAGTGGCTGGAAGAGTTGGCAGGACCCCCTTAAACTTTATTATTGTACCATTGCCCTCCCC